ATCCATCCATCCATCCATCCATCCATCCATCCATCCATCCATCCATCCATCCATCCATCCATCCATCCATCCATCCAACCATTGATGCATTCATTCATCCATCCATCCATCCATCCATCCATCCATCCATCCATCCATCCATCCATCCATCCATCCATCCATCCAACCATTGATGCATTCATTCATTCATCCATCCATCCATCCATCCATCCATCCATCCATCCATCCATCCATCCATCCATCCATCCATCCATTAATGCATTCATTCATCTGTCAGTCCATCATTTTGTTCATCCATCCATCCATCCATCCATCCATCCATCCATCCATCCATCCATCCATCCATCCATCTGTCAGTCCATCATTTTGTTGATTCATCCATCCATCCATCCATCCATCCATTAATGCATTCATTCATCCGTCAGTCCATCCATCCATCCATCCATCCATCCATCCATCCATCCATCCATCCATCCATTAATGCATTCATCCATCCATCTGTCAGTCCATCATTTTGTTCATTGGTCCATCCATCCATCCATCCATCCATCCATCCATCCATCCATCCATCCATCCATCCATCCATCCATCCATCCTCAATGGATGGATGGATGGATCCATCTGTTTCAGTGCAAATATGTGTGCAGACATCATTCCAAATGATTCAAGCATAACACTGAATCCATCCATCCATCCATCCATCCATCCATCCATCCATCCATCCATCCATCCATCCATCCATCCATCCATCCAGTGTAGTGTTTAGTGATGTGTTAAAGGTGAGCCTTATGTCTCTGTTTCTTCCTTTCAGTGTGTGATTGTGCGTTCAGCATGAGTAACATCTATGAGTCTGCTGAGGCCACGCTGGGCTTCATCAGCTCCCCATGCCTGACCAAAGTGGAGCTGCGAGTGGCTTGCCGGGGGATCTCGGACCGCGACGCCCTCTCCAAGCCGGACCCGTGCGTGGTGTTGAAGATGCAGTCACACGGCCAGTGGTTTGAGGTAACTGAGAAGGGGGGGTGGGGGTGGGGGGGTGCTCAGGTTAAATGTGCTTCCAGTGGAGAGGGACTGTTTCATATTCAGAAAAGGAAAAGGTGTAATGGCCCAGTCAGGCTTCTGCGTCAAAGCGCTCGTCATTCTGAAAGTGTTCTTTCTCATGACACTTATTCACCCATTGTGAGATATCAGAGTATTTACTGAAGTGCATCTGCGTGTGCGTGTTGTTAAAGGTGCTATCTGAGCTGTCATCATGTTGTGTGTTGATATTCTGCTGTGAACTGAGGTAACCTTTAATGTACAGTTTGGTACATTTTGTCTTTTTTCCCATCATGGGAATAAATAAACACCAGGAATAAAATAAAAGAACTCCAAAATGTCTGCATTTATCATGCAGTACATTTGAGGATATTTATCATCCACTACAATGAAAGGCAAGCTATCATGTAATTGCCTGAGTGTGTTGTTTGTCTGTTAGCAAAATATCTCATAAACCAGTTGATGGATTTTAATTAAACTTCCTGAAAATAAATAATAGGTATACATCTATAAATGATTAACTTTTGAAGTTCACCCAATTCAAAATGRCTGCCACAGCTAATCAACCTTGTCAAACAGAAAAATAGCTGTAACTCAGTAAATTTGGCAGATATTGAGATCTAGTTTGGTGTGGTAATAGCTGAGAGTCTTCCCCAATTAATTCTGAACACTAAGAGATCCTATTTTAAAAAGTTGGCTTTAACCATTTGTGTCAATCTTATCTGTCTGTTAGCAAAATATCTCATGAAACTGAACAGATGTTAATAAAAGTTTCAGAGAGTCATCRTTGGTTTCATATTCACAATTGATTAACTTTTGGAGCCAAATCGATTCAAGCTGGCGTCTCAGCTGATCAAAATTTACAAACACAAAAATGGTTGTATTTCAGTCAGTTTCACAGATCTGAAACTACAGTTTGGTGTGGTAGTAGCTGAGACACCTCCAACTTTACATACTTTGACCGCTAATAGTATTCATGTTAATTCAAACTGGGGACACCAAAAATTGGTTGTAAACTTTTCTGTTTCAGTGCAAATACTGTATRTGTGCACACATCACTCCAAATGATTCAAGCATAACACTGAATTCATGTTTAACTAAATGAGTGCACGTAATYGAGCACTCAAGCTGTGATTATATTGTGTCATCTCATGTTTGGTCCCATGAATTATGGATACTAATTGTAATGCAGCCCATGAAAAATCCAAAGTTTTGCAGAAGGCTGTTATATTGAGATGCACAGAGTGCTTTGTTTTGGTAATGAAAACAATCAGAGCTCCAACCGTCTTTTTTCTCCCTTTTTTTCTGACTTTACTAACAGTTTTTGTCCGTTTTATCGAACTCGTAAAGTAAACAGGTCTCAGATAGATGGAGAAAACATCTTTGGGCAGATTGTTTTGCTTTTAAGTGTTCCATTTGAATTCCAATTATCACTAAAGCACGGACGCTCTTTCACGCCTTCCTAATGGACAAAACATGGACTGTCTGAGAATTACGAAAGCACAACATACGGATAAAGATKGAGCCTGATCATTTCAGGAATATGTTGATTTCTACTGAAGTATCTCCCTGAAAATCGTTACTGATTGACTTTTTTAGAGTCAACCSAAYWGACCATTTTGTAGTTATGAGTACTAGCATATTTCGRTTCACAAGTCAACTGGTAAAATGCTGAGGTTGCAATGAAAACGCCACTGGAAGTGTGCAAGTTCAACAAGCTSAAAAAGCAGATTTATAGCTTTACAGCACATTTGTAACAATTTTTAACTAGAAAATTGTCTATTCAAGATGGCTTCCACAACAAATCAGTGAATTTATAGGTATTGAGGTAAAATTTGGAGCGGTGAAAGCTGAGGCTGATTCACGATGTATACTCTGATCACAGGATTGGGACTATTTCTGAAAAACCTGAAATTACACAGGATTATTGCGACATTGCTCGGGATAGGGAATAATGTTAATTTCAAGATTTAACCAAATGTTGTAAATACATATATATGTGTGCTCATGGCCAAAACCTGTCAGAAACCTGAAATGTTAAACTGCATGTTAGACACACACACCAACACCCACACACACACACACACACACAAAAACTAGTTCTTTTTCCACTGGGACGCAAGATCAAGTGCTCAAAAAGTAGTGCAGCATTAGGCAACTGTCTTGGGAGAATCCACAAAAAGCTACTTTCTGCAGCATATCAGTCTGTGTGTGTGTGTGTGTGTGTGTGTGTGCTTGTGTGTGTGAGAAAAATAGTTAGTGCATATGTGCTACAATAAGCCCACTTGAAAAGTGTGAAAACAGACAAATGCTATCCCTGCTTATTATTTTTAGTCTCCTAACTAGATAATTGTTGTGTTGAAGCAGCTGTTCGAGTGTGTGTGTGTGTGTTTGTGTGTGTGTGTGTGCCATAATGCTTGGCTTTGAATGAGTGTGAAAAAGGGGGCAACATCTGGTGTAAATTCTGTGACGAACTTTTCTTCCTGCATAAGTGCAAGTGTTGAATAAAAAGCYCTCATTCATGTCTGCTGGCGTTGGGAAGGTTTTCGCCGTCAGCGCTGACAGGTGTTAATTTGACGTTCTGATCCGTTCTGCGTCAGGCCATCARAGGGAAGAAAATCTGAGTTCAATGTTACGGATACAGTCGGATTTCAGTGCAGTCRAACAGCGCGTGTGATTTTAAGGCATCACAGAAAATCAATGTTTGCAGTACTCCGGCTGATAAGTGTAAACAATGTGGTAATGGCTATTTGGGGTAATTGCTGCAGTCTGGGGTTCACAATCGATAGTTAGTGGTGATGTTGAAAGAGATTTTCATATTTCGGCTCACTACACCAAACTTTAAAAAAAAAACAGTACAATTTAAAGTGATGCTGGCATTATTAAATAATACAGAAAGATGAGAAACAACTTTTTAATATTTTATGTAACTTTTACTAAATTCATTTTTGAAACTTTATAGAAAATTAAATTATTTTCATTTGGTTTGACTTGTTTTGCTAAACGATGACGAAGTGTTGGTGTTGTGTTGGTGCGTCCCCTCACGCTCTTATACGTGTCTTCACAGGTGGACCGTACTGAGGTGATCCGCAGCAGCAGCGGTCCAGTTTTCTCCAAGATCTTTTTGGTGGATTACTACTTTGAGGAGGTCCAGAGGCTTCGGTTTGAGCTGCATGACATCAGTTCTGGCAATAACGGCCTACGGGATGCGGACTTCCTGGGAGCTATGGAGTGTACCTTAGGACAGGTTGGTACGCGTGCAGGATGGAGAATGAATGTAGAACAGACCACATTGTGCATAAATCAGAGTTCAAACATGGATTAAAAACATTTCATGAGATTTTACTTGTCAACTACTGTCTTACTCATCATTTTGTCCAGGATTAATAGCTTTTGGTTGAGCTCTTTCTCATCTATCTCCACCTAATAAAGCTGGCTGAATGTATTTCAGTGCATTAGGATGTCAGATGATAGGGGCTGTCATAAAACTATCAGGGAACTCTAAGTTAGACAGGCCCCTTAGACCTTTCTGGGTTGGAAAAAAAAAGAAGCCGAATCTACATCTAAACCATTAATGCAAAGTAAAAGTTAGGCTGAATGTACTCTTAAAGCGAAATTTGGTACTATAAATTCAACTATTCACAAATTTGATGACGTAATTTTTGCTGCWGTAAATTTTAACAATATTTTTTCTAACATGTTTAGCTGTAATTRGTTCTTTCATGCTTTCTGTCATGCTTTTAAATCCTTCTTTTTCACATTTAAATCATTCAGCTGGGGTCTATATGAAGTGGAACAGCAATTCTTTTCTCGTTGTAACTCCACAAGCCCCCCTTTCACCCCTTTTCTGAGTTGTGTCTCAGACCAACCTATTTTGAGGCTGTTTCTTTAAATCCAAACGAGGCGCTTCACACCCCACTGCCCACACCCCCCAGCTTCCAGAGTGGTTCATTCTAATTTGGTAGAGTCATTTACGACGATCTTGCAGTGCAGCATCATATACAGAAAACTAAACGAAACGAAAAAYATGACCCAAACAGAATATAAAGTTACTGKATCTTTGAAGCATTTTGAGAAACTAAATTCAAAWTTTCTTGCACTTCTAGAGTCCAGTTCCCCCCAAAAATGAATTGAACGGCTAAAAATGTGAATTTTGCCCTTTTTAAAGGAAGGCCACRTAACACCACGATTGTGTGCTGAAGRGTAGGCGGGACTTAAAGCGCCTAACCGTCTTTTGTGCACAAATTCTGTTTCCAAAAATCCAACATGGCAGCTCATGTAAACAGCTGATTTTTGTGTCTGATTATGTGTAATTTAGGAATAATTTACTACTTTGCGGGCCGAAAAGAAAGAGCCCATGAGCCAGATGTGGCCTGAGAGCCATCAGTTGGCTATCGCTGGTGGAGATCTGTAACAAATCCAACTGAATGCAAAGAGGCAATGTAAAACAAAAAGTGCACTCAGTTGCATAATCTATTAGATGTGTGTACAGCATCAGTTTTTGTAGTTTAACTAATAAGAGGAATGTCAGGAGCCCATTTTAGYCAAGGCTCTTCCAACTTCAGGTTTGCATTTAAACTTCCGTGTCCTTGGGTTCTCCAGGCTGCTTCAAACTGTTCTCAGAGCATTTATATGCGCATATGCTAATCGGTGCCGCCTCGCTCGCTAAATGGGCTCAGCGCTTGTGATAGCTGCGATCAATATCTAAAGATTTTCTCTATTTACGCCAATTACTCATCGTCTGAGCGCTTTTAAAAAGAAAATTGCTGTTGCTTTCATTAAAGCGTTGGTGTTGGCTGATTTCAAGGACCCACCACCCGATACTTTGACAACAGTGAGAGCAGCATCCCACATCATTCTGAGAGGAGTGGAATGTATTTGCTTTTTGTGTTTTATGGTCAGTGGTGCTATCAGCGCCATAGGGCRGCTGGATCTACAGTAGTTGGCAGAACGGAGATAACAGCCATAGAGGAGGATTATCATTGCCAGAGAGTTGCAGCAAGATAACGTGGATAACGTTTTTTTCTGCATAGTAAAAAATCTACTGTTTATCCAAGGTTTAGCTMAAATGTTTTAGCTTATTTTGAATTTGCATCATGTGTGCAAATGGTAACAAAAATCCAGCAGGGAAACCCAAACATCCCTCTCTTTCTCATTCCCCCAGACGACGGCGCTCCTCGTCTTACTTCAATGGCTGAGTTCAGCCCAGAGGAAGCTCATTTTATGGTCATGATCCACATCCCATGACCACAGGTGAAAGCTGGAATGTAGACAGACCGGTAAATCGAGAGCTCTGCCTTTGAGCTCAGCTCTTTTTTTTTCAGCCAGCCAAACTAGAGCAACTCCTTCCTTACTGCAGAGGAGACCCAGATTTGTTAATCCACCCAGATACATGAACTYTTACACATGTGGGGAAACCCTTGTAATAGACTGGAGGGTCACATTCCCATGACCCCCTTAGAAACTCTGCAAGGGTGAGAATCTGGTTGAAAAATCAAAATAATTGATCATCGCTGATAGACATTCATTTATACTTATGTGCTGATTAAGGTTCTTTTGTATTTTGAATTGGAACACTGTTTTTAAAGGGGCAATATTATGTGTTTCTCAGGCATTTATTTAAATACTATACCATAATAAAGTATCTATGTCACCTTTAGCTGTTGTTAAAATGCTGTTTTTATGTTTAAATAGAAAATAAACTTATCTTCTCATCACTTCCTCTTCTAAACGCCTTGAAATTGGCCTCTGTCGCTTTAAGAACCACCTTCCGCTTCTGTCTCGCCCATTTCAGTGGGGGTGGGGTTTCGTGCGTGCGCTATGATGCAGTTTACTTGGCATCTGAAAATACATTTCCTCAAAGGTATTTTGAATCTGAAAAGAGCTTCACTGAGTGAGAAGTAGCGTTAACAGCAGACAGTTTAAGTTTCACCTTCAGTTTCACTCGTTTGCCTTGTTACTGCCGAGAGCCTGCAGGAGTCATGGGCGGGGTGTGTGGGGTTGGGGTGTCGGGAGGTGTGCTCCGTGATGAGGAAGTTCAGCTTAAAGACTCGTCCCAGGGGCGTTCCTGGTCCCAAAAGGTGTTTCTGGTCCCCACCTGTCRTTTTGCTCCTCAGCATGGCTGCTTAAAAATACTGCAGGATTTCTCAAACATGCATGAATGAGTCAATGCAAGGCTTTGGGCTTGTTTTTTATGAGAGTGTAACATTGTAACATGATATAAAACTCAAAAAAGTTGATTTTACATGATATTGCCCCTTTAAAAGACTAAGATTGAAAATAAGGGTCTTTAGGCTACCAGAAAAAGTTTGTTTTAGTCCCATCAATGCCTTTCCTGGCAGCTTTTTTTTCATTTTATCTGTTTCTGTCCATATGTTCAAACTTTCCTTCCCTGAGTTATCCATTGAGCAGTCAGCCGTATGGCACCTGACAGCTCCAGTAACCTGAGGCCGACCCTCTAAAGGTGTCCGTGTCGCTGTTTGTTTCAGATCGTCTCGCAGAGGAAACTGACCAAAGCTCTGCTCAAGCAGGGAAACACGGCCGGGAAGTCTTCCATCATGGTAGGAAGCCCGTTCCGTGCACGAATCGCACGCGCCCCGACACTCARGAAAGATAATTAACTGGAGGACGTTGCTCCTTCAGTCTGTTCTGCTCCTTGTTTCCATCTCATTTCGCTCACATCTCCWTCCCGTGCCCTCTCTGCGCCGCTCTGTAGGTGACAGCTGAGGAGTTATCCGGCAACGACGACTACGTTGAACTCTCCTTCAGCGCTCGGAAGCTGGACGAYAAGGTTTGCTGCCGTCGCTTTCAGAAGTTTCTAATATTCTCTGTAAGGTTTGAGAGAAAAACAGGAGGAGAGATGTTAGTTTGTGTGTTATGYCTTCAAATGTGGAGATGTAGTGATGAAAGATTTGATGATGAAGCCACTTAGAGAATATACACAAGAGGACAATCTGGCTTATAAGGGGGTTCAGTGGAAGTAGCTGGGCTCCTCCCCGCCAACACGAAACCTCTTTTATCTCGACAACCCCTCACACACACATTGATTACAATGTTAATTTTAATTTTGAGCTTCCTCCCGCACACACACGGCCACGGATGACTAATCCAAACAAGTTGGGCCCAAGGGAAATGATGGCCTACAGACAGGGAGGGGTGGTTAATTTGGAAAGGACAGGAGAGGGATGGGTGGAAGAAACACAAAAAAAAGAAAGAAAGAGAGGAAAGAAGAAGAGGTGAATTGATGATTCTGATAGTGTTTGATTGATTTGGTGATCAAAGGCACTTCTGAGGGAATCCTTTACATGTGGGTGTGTTTTCTTTTCTTTGAAGGATTTCTTCAGCAAGTCAGATCCGTTTCTGGAGATCTTTAGAATAAACAACGACGGAACGGAGTCGCTTGTGCACAGAACTGAGGTAATAACTGTATGTTTACACATTTGTACSCCAATGTTTCGTATTCACTTTGAACAATGATCTTTTTCATGTGTGTCTGTGCAGACGGTCATGAACAACCTGAGCCCAGTTTGGAAATCCTTTAAAGTTTCTTTGAACACCCTTTGCAGYGGGGATCATGACAGGGAGCTAAAGGTGGGTTTTCTTGACAATAACTGCGAAGATATCRGTACAATCTTCAAACAAATCAAATCTACAATTAATAATAATCACTTGAGTGTAACCAAGCTTGTTTAGAGAACAGACTTTAGCTCAAAATCTTTAAAAGTCATTGAGTTACAGCTCTTTTTGTGTTTGCTAAATGTGCTTTTTGAATGGGGTTGTAGAGGTCAATAAGTTCACAAGATCTTGTGGGAGGGACCCAGATATCCGCCGTTATTTGTCCACAAATCTGTCCCGGTTTAAGCTCCATAGTTTTTGACAGACAGACTATTCTGTGCACAAGATATGTGTTATTTACATCCATGAATTTTTGGCCGTTTTATTATCTGTATAAATGTCTGCTTCCGGGTGCAACAGCAAAATGCAGTGTCTGAGCGCTTTTAGCATAAACAAACACGCACAGGAGCTTTTGACCAATTACAYAATACTTTCTTATGCAGAGGGGGGTGAAAAGTGGGTTTTGACAAGAAGGTGTTGTGAACAAAATGACAATTTTCGTCATGCAACTGCAACAATAAGAGCCGATTTTGGCAGTTWGGACATATGCAGAGGTCTCTTCCTCAGTGGTAGAGAAGACGTGTGCATGAGGTGGTGACTGTGTTGGAGGCTCCAACTAGTGGCAAACTTTGTCATTACAACCAATTCAGTTCAGTTCAGTTAGTTTATTAATTTCTTTAAAAACAACAACATAAATTCAACAAACAACAAAAATACAAAT